AACCTAGCCAAATCCACCTTCGGGAAGTCCTCGGTGGTCTATCTGGGACATGTGGTAGGGAACGGCACAGTTCGTCCCAAGAAGGCCAATGTGGAGGCCATACTGGCCTTCCCTCTCCCTACCACCAGGAAGGCACTTATGAGGTTCCTAGGGATGGCCGGGTTCTACAGGCGGTTCTGTAGGAACTTCTCTACCCTGGCCGCCCCTCTGACGGACCTTACCAGCTCTTCCGTCCCCTTCCACTGGACCCCAGCATGTGACCAAGCAGTCAGACATCTCAAGGCGTTCCTCGTTTCCTCGCCAGTGGTATGGACACCGGACCACTCCCACCCCTTCCAACTACAAATTGATGCCAGTGGGGTGGGTATTGGTGCGGTCTTGCTCCAAAAAGACCCTCTGAGCGGCATTCTCCATCCAGTCGCTTACCACTCGGCCAAACTCAAGAAACACCAGATGAACTATTCAACCATCGAGAAGGAAGCGCTGGCGTTGGTCCTGGCTCTCCAACGATTCGAGTGTTACCTCCATCCCAGTCCTGAAACAATCGAGGTATACACAGACCACAACCCCCTGGCATTCCTACAAGCCATGAAAAACAAAAATCAACGCATCCTTCGCTGGGCCCTTCTCACTCAACCCTTCAACCTCCAAATCCGCCACATAAAGGGGGTCGACAACTTGTTGGCGGATACGCTGTCAAGAGCTCCAGTGTAACCTCCTTCGTGATCCCACTGCGGAGGTCTTACGGGGGGGGAATTGTTACGGTCACACCACCACCTGCACGCCGTAACAACCCAACACCCCAACCACCACCTCATCAAGCACCATCCACTATCTGACAACACTCATCAACCACCAACCAGCTCACCCTCCATTCTCCAACAACCAGCTCGGCTTCGTTCGGTCAGCTTTCCGAATCCCGGAACTGTTTCACTGGCCAGGAAGCCGGCGAATCAGAGGATATATAAGGAGGTGCAGCAGACATAGAAGGCAGATCGCTTTTGCTCT